AGGATTGTACGCAGGCCATGTGTAAGGTGTTATTTTATGGTGCAAACTGCCTTTATCTTTTAGATGCAGTGGAGTGATATTTTTTCGATGCAATCTGTGTTTCATCCCTTAGCTGTAAACACAGACCGGACCGATCCTATTTCCATTTGAAATACATTTTTACAAATATATCGAGCAAAAAGGGTGCTTTTTGGCCAATGATTATATCACAATTTCATATTTGGCTGAAATCAGGAAGAATCTGCTAACTGAATGAGCTGCTGAGTGTTACTTGAATATTATTGAATTTGTATTATTATTATTGTATTATTAGTATGATTAGTATTAGTATTGTATTAGTATTATTAGTACTGTATTGGTATTAGTATTATTGGCATTGCATTATTAGTACTACTGAACTTAAGTTATTATTGAATGAGGAAGAAACAACTTCAGAAACAGAAATAATTGCTACAGTTTTTATAAGCCCGCACATCAAACGTAAGAAATAAGCCACCAAAGAAACTGCTCGCGTAACCACATGAATTTTTAGCCTGCTCGCTACAGAAATGAACGTCTGGCTAAGGCGAATTTGATCTCAGTGATGAAGCTAAGATATCCAATAATCGAAAAAAAGGTAATATCTTGCCCAGTGCCAGGTATAGATTCATTGGATCATCTTCATTGCGCAACGCAAAAATCAGGATACGGTGCATACGTGGACGAATATCGATGTATGTTGTAGGAATGTCACCAGCACTGTCGTGCGCCCTTGATGGATCTAAAACAAAAACACAGAACTCGAATTTACCGGGCATTGCTAAACATTTTTTTTATTAAAAGTCAAATTCGCATCTGCTAAAATCAGCTATGATATTTTTCATGACATAACTTGCAAGTTTATGATGCAAATCCTTTCTTAGCTTCTTGGACAGAACAGGAAGGTGGCTAGACACTGACCCAACTTTCGGTTCTCTGGATTAAATTTACGGGCCCGTGCTTCGGTACCACGCATACACGAAAGCTGGGTTTGAGCTCACTGAGAATTACGTGGATGGGGAACATCCGCTTAAAATTACAGTCTTCTAGCTTTTCAAATTCTCAAGTTAGCAAGTTACCCGAGAAAAACTTTCAGGGGGCATTTTTTTTTTTGACCTCAAAATCACAAACTATGTTTATCGCGCAGCCAAGGAGAATTTTTATGATCATGAATGTGTGTGTGAATTTGATCCAGCTCCATACTTATTTCTGAGCACATTTGCAGAAATGAAATCAACACAAATGTTTTTACTGAGGCAAACAAGCTGAAAATTTTAAACTAGCCTCCAATTGGCACGTCGCCAAATGTCGTGGGCCAACTGATAACGGTTGATAAGGCATGGAGACAAGAACGACGCATCTGTACTTCATCTATTGATGGATGAAGCCTGAAACTGCCAATTCTGATCCCCTTTACAAAAAGTCAAGGGTCGAAATTTCCCTCCCCACATGGTTCTTTTTTTAAAACAGAGATAAGGGCCTTATGAAATGCCAGAAGCATTCGGACCTAACAGTGGATTTCTATTTCAAGGCCTGTTTAGAAGTGAACTGATGATAGCTCTGTTTACTTCGTTTAAGTACCATACCGGATAGGCAATGTTTAGAATC